ACATAAAAGTATTTATGCTATTAAAATAATTATATGTTATAGTGAAAATAGTTAATATTAAATCAAAAAATTATTTATTTATATTTATTATTAAAATATTAATATAAACACATTTGTTCAAAAAATATAAATTAATATATTTTAAATTGAAAAAAAATGATTAAAAACATTTATATTATTAAAATAGTATTATTATATTAAATAATATTAATTATTATAATAATGAAAATATTATATACTATATTAATATTTATTATTAAAATATTAATAATACAATAATATTTTATTATTACAATACTAAAAATATTTATGTATAATAATATAAAGTATAATATTTAGAATTAAAATATCAAAAGTCTTTTAATATTAATTTTTAATTAAAAATAAATAAAAAATATTTTTATTAATATAATAATATTTCAAATCAAATTAAATTAAGTCGAGTTTAAAAAAAAATCATATTCAAGGTTTAGTTCAATAGAACTATAAAAATATTTTAAATTAAAATATTAAAAGACTTTTAATATTAATATTTTAAAAATTTTAAGTAAAATAAAAAAATTTGCTTTTTATTAACATAATAACATTTCAAGGTAAATAGCATCTATGATTCATAAATTTTGAGTCTAATTTTATTTTGGTCTTCAATTTTTAAAAAATGATAATAAAATTTTTAATTATCAAAAGTTATCTTATTTTAATCTTTCTGTCCAAGGATAGTCAAAGTTGAAGGTAAATGGCAGTTTGTTTCCATGGATGGCATCAGCTATCATCTCATGTAACAAATGGAGAAATCAAAATAAAATTTTTATTCAAAGTTTAGGGATCAAGAGTCTTACTATCTCAAATTTTTATGTACTTAAGATATATTTTATAAAAGATTAAATATATAATAATAATTTTATTTTTTAATCATAATATAGTTTCTTTGTTAAATATTTTTATTTTTAATATAAAATGTATTTTGAAAATTAAAATTAAGTTTAAAATTTCAAATTCATTTTGAAAAATATTTATATCATTTTAAAAAAATTAAGTAAAAATTTTTATATCGATTTAAAAAATTAAATAAAAAACTCCATATCTTTTAAAATTATTAAGTAAAAATTTTCAATTCATTTTTAAAAAATTGCTTTATTAATCTGTTCATAATATTTTTCCTATTGAAAAAAAGTTATTTTGAATCTTTTTTTCATTAAAAATTTATACTTATAAAAAATTAAAAGAATTTACATTCAAAACAGTCCTTACCACTTCTGATTCGATAAGAAAAACAAATTGAGTTTGAAAATAATATTTTTATTTTATATAAATATAAAATTTTTAATAAAAAATATATTCAAAATAGATTTTTTCGATAGAAAATAGATTTTTGAATAAATTAATAAATCTATTTTTTGTAAAATAATATAAAAATTTTTAATTAATATTTTAAAGTTACATGGAGTTTTTTTTTTTTTTTAATTTGTTAATTGATATAGAAATTTTTATTTAATTTTTTAAAAATGATATGGAATTTTGTTGAAAAGCATTTTGACATTTTTAACTAAGTTTAACTTTTTAAATACCTATTTTATATTAAAATACTATTTTAATGATAAATAGTATCATAATAAAAAGTAAAAAATTAATTTAAATTATAATATTTTATAAAATATATTTGAAATTCAAAAAATAAAAAAATTTTCTTTAATTATTTTTATTGTTCTTTTTTTTTTTTTCCTTTTTTCTTCTTGAAAATGGAAAAGAAAAAGAAAAAATATTTAATATTTTAATAGAAAATAAATTTTTTGGATAAAAATGATATTTTATATTATGATGTGTATTTGTAAAATAATTTTTAGATGATATAGAATTTGTTCAAATAGGTTTTGAAATTTTCAACTTAATTTTAATGTTTGAAAATCTATTCTTATCAAAAACAAAAAGTATTTAACTAATAAATTATATTACAATAAAAATATAAAAATATTATTTTAAATTTAATATCTTATAAAAATATATTTGAAATATAAAAAATTGAGATAGTAGTATTTTTAATCTCTAAATTTCGAGCAAAATTATATTTTAGTTTATCTGTCTATCATGTGAGATGTTAGTTGGCATTATAAGCAACAATTGAGGATTTAATTAAAATTTTTTAAAAATTAAAGATCAAAATAAAATTTACTTTAAAATTTAAGAATTACATATGCTATTTGCTTAATATTTAAGATTGATTCAAATTAAACTTTAGCTTAAAATATCATATTCAAGATCCAATTTGAATAGAATTATGCTCTCAATTATGATAAATAGATAATGTTTTGCTAAACAAATATCAAATAGTACAAAAATTATTTTTTGAAAATCCTTTTTCCGAAACGAAGGAAGCTTTCATTTCTACTAATAAAGGGTTGCCAAACCCAACACCCATTTCATTTTTTTTCACCCACTAATAATTTGACAGATGGAGCAAAATTGGGACGCAACTCTGATTAAAATGTGTCAACCAATTAAAGCTTACTAAAGCTTATGTTAAAGATGTTTTATATATATATATATATATATAAATTTAATTTTGACGATCCTCCGTAATTTCTAATTCAGGCTAAAGTTGATATTCCAAGATGATCCCACGATCAGTCAGCCAAAGGGTTCAAAACCTACAACCTTTGACCCCAGATGTTGTTTACTGGTCAAAATTGCCGGTGGTGGCTTTGCTTTGCTAGCTGCCACACCCTCCCAACAAGATTTGTTGGGTCATCCCCGCGGAACTTGATCAGAAACCCGTCCCCACTGCACTTGATTAAAGTTGTTGTTCTTTGCTATGTACCAAGTACTCTTCCCTATTATCTCATCTCACATTCTGCCAATTCTTCCAGCATTGCTCGTGGCCCCCCACAATCCCAAACAAATCACATTGCTTTTTGCCTTAGGAAAACTCTTTCCTATTATAAGCTCCTACAGTTGCAATCAATTTTAATCAAATTCAGGGACATCCCTTCAATTCAACCACATCTAACTAAGTGTTGTCATTTTCCTTAAGGAGAGCCGGTTTGGCTAGCTCGAACAGCCCCACTGAAAGGTTTTGGATTTAAGGCAATTTTCAGCATTTATGGAGACTTTTGGAACGGCCTGTGTAAATCTCTGTTACAGGAATCAATAAATCCTGTAACAATTTGAAGTGTCAAAGGAATTGATTTCGGGTATGATTTGCAGTATGTTCCGGTGGATATCACGTGACCTATAATGCCAGTAGAGATTTGGATTCAAATGTCACAACCCCTTCTCTCTATCTCACTCTCTTTAACTCTTTTAAGTAGTCTAGCACTGAGATTTCAGTAATCTATTGTATAGCCCCAGCTGCGTTGCATCTGCAAAGTGCAAAGATGATCCAGAGGATCAGATAGAGTCCATCATCATTTACTGCATTAACGTTCCTTTATATTTTTTTGGAGTAAGTTGCTTCCTAACAATAAAAAAAAAGAATTACGAATATTAAAATTAAAATTTCATATTTATTAAATATTATATTTTAAAATATTATACAATTTAATTGAATAAGCTTATATTTTGTCACATAAAATGCAATTCTGAAAGTGGCAATTACATTGATACAGTATCAAATACTTTGTTAGATATAGCAACTCATTTGATTAAATTCTATACATAGATTCTCACCAATAAATGAAGCAAAATTTACTTTAGAGCAAGTAGATAAGCATAATTTAATGTGGTTCTGGAAATAACAAAAGTATCAAAGCAAACTTGATCCATTTTCTAGCAGCATATTCTTGCATGATTCACCGCTTCCTTGTTTCCTTCAATGATACAAGTGGAAAAGCAGACTCAAGACAGACAGACCATGGGCTGGCAACATTGCCGAATGCGTAAGCATCACTAGTATATAACATCATGTGGTATCCAATAATACCAAAATGTTTTGAATGGAGATTCGCAGCCATTGTTAGACGTGTTGAAACATTATTGCTTCAATCTCAGAGCTCTGATCCCGAGAAAGCTTTGTTTAAGTGTACAAAATAAACTCCAGATTAGGTGAAGTCCCCCTTGTCACTTTCTTTTTTTTTTTTAACTATGGGTAGCTTGGACTTGGATGCTGCACATTCTTCAGTTTTAAACAAATGGATTAACTTTGTTTTTTTCACTTTTTTTATAAACATTCCATTTCCATTATCCTTATTCAAAAAATTTTAATAATTATTAGTAGTAAAAGGATAACTTTTAGAACTGCAGATGCAAGTGACATTGTCAATTATTGGTGAGCAGAACTTGAGGGGTTGGAAGAGTTGAATAAGGTCCATTCAAACTCTGCATAGGATTCTAATCCAAGTCTCCCCACATGTGTTTTGTCCCTTATCTTTTTTCTTTTGCTTGAGTTATCACCAAAGCATTACAAAGAACCTTCCCACTATCATAAGAGTCCGAGGTGGGTGGGGAGTCATGTACGTGGGACAGTGAAAAACTAAGCTCAAAGTCTAAAGAGGGGTTGATGGCAGAGACCCCAGAAAAAGGCAGTGGGCCTTCGGGCTCAGCGTTTTGTAGGGATTTGTCTTGGTCAATCAGCTGGTGTGAAGCATCCGTGCAGCATCTTCCTTCCCCTTGAAAAGGATTTACATTTACTTTGCGTTTGACAACTTTTGACACAAGTTATAACCATAGCCAGATGTTGACTTGCATGTGCCACTCCCACGCATGAACAGGAATAGTTCTAGCTACTATAGTTTATTCAAACAAAACGAGAGCAGCAACAAGAAGAGATCAGAAAAAAAATCATATAAATTTGAAGAAAACCCAGATCCTCACCATTACTGAATTGAAAATTGGATGCTTAAGAATTTCTCTATTCCACTTCCAGTTCTGAGAATATAGATTAACACAGATTCTACAAAGAAATAATGCTACAAATATATAAAGAAACTTGAAAGAAAAAAGGAAAGATACCACTGCGTTTTACCAAATTCAGAAGGTAGTTAGGTGAAGCACAGAAAGAGCTCAAAGAAGCTAAAAATTTCCATGTTATTTATTTATGATTTCCCCTGTACATGAACTTCTACTGATCATCACTAAAAAAATACCCTAAGCAAGAAGAAAAGAGAAAAGGAAAAGTAAGAGTACAAAATAAAAAAAAAATGACAAGAGCTAGGGATGCAAAAGCTTGGGTCGATGAATTAGCAGTCAATTAGCCCTTTCAACATGGCGTATAAAGACAGTCTCCAAGTCCGGAGGAGTAAAAAACTCTCTAACACTTCCATAGTTACACTTTAAAGAAGGTTTTGGCTTCCTTGGAGCAGGTGGACACGTGAATATGGTTGGAATTCTGGCATCTTCTCCCGTTGGAGTCGTCGTACATGAATCGTCTCCTTGGCCATCGCTACTGTCTTTATCTTTCTCTTTCTCCACTGGTTTTGTGTATACAGGCTTCAAAGTAGGTCGTAAAGAAATCCCAGCAATAACCCATTTTTTGCCTTCGGATTCTAACCCTCCATCCACTTGAGGCTTCCCTGAAACCCCCATATCCTTGGATCAAATACCGAATTACCCAAAATCTACGTTCAACTATAATTATAGCTAGCCACGGAGCCAGGAAATTAAGAATAATGGAATAACCGAATAAGGGAATAAAGAAGAAAGAATAAAGATGGGCTTTTCTTTTCCTTTTCCTTTTCCTCTCCCTTTGTGGAGAGAATCAAAAGGAAAGCAGAAGGAAAGTGGGGCAATGGAAAGGAATAGAGGTTTTAGTTAGCAAGAAAGACAGAAAGTACCGAAAGGCTGAAGAAGGAACATGAGAGAAAGAGAAATGTTTGCAGCCAAATGCAAAGGGCTTTAAATAAACAAAATTAAAAGAATAATAATAATAATAATAGTAATGCAGTAATTGAAAAGAAGAAGGGATTGGGGAGGAGGCAACGTTGAATGTTGTGTTTATACCAATCAGGGAGAGAGATAAAAAGAGAACCCGAGGAAACTCGTGACATAAGCACAGAAGAAAAAAAATTTTAATTATTAAAAAAAAGAGAAAAAACTAACGCCAAAAACAACTAACATCTGTAAGTTGCCCGTGAAACTAGCTAACCGCGGGCAGCCTTTGAGGGAAAAAATATATAATAAAAAAAGGGGTTGGGGGATTGACTTGGATTTTGGCGCCAATTCTGGTGCGGGTAGACATGAGATCGCCAACAGTTTTTTTTAAATTTTTTTGGTTTTTCCTTTTTTTTGTCAAACTTCTGCAAATTTTCAATGTCTGGTCCAGTTTTGTTTTCCCCTCTTTGTTATTTATATTTTCTTTTAGTACGTGTGGATGGAGCATTTGAAAGAGTTATTTCATTTTAATAAAATTTTTTAAAAATTTAAAAATATATTTATTTGTTTGGATAAAAATAAGAGATAATTTTAAAATTTAGGTGAAATTTAAAAAAGAAATTTAACATCTCAAATTTCTTTTTAAAATTTCAATTAAAGAGGTGGTTTTTCAAAAGTTCTCTTAATTTTTTAATTCTTTATTGGACATCATCCACTATTAAATGCAAAACTCAAAAAATAAAATATAATTTTATTTAACTTTAATCTTAATTTTTTATTTTTATATTATTAATAATTTCTATATATTTTTATAAATTTAATGATATTCATATTGTATATTTTATTTTATATATATTTTAATATAAATATTCTTCTTTTATAATTAATTTTTTATTTGATCAAATTTCAATAGATTAAATTTCTTTCTAAAAATATTTATTAAAATAAAATAATTACACATACTAATATTTTGAAGTGACGCATTTTAAAATGTCTTCATTTCAAATTTTTTAAAATTTTAAAATTCTTCAATCAAACACTCTTTTCTTATTATTTAATTTACTTTTATTTTCACAATTTTATTTTTTATCAACTTAATTCATTTAAAAATTTGTATATACTTATTTATTTCATGTCAAATATATATAAAACATAATAATTATTATATTATAGTTTATAGCGACACATCAAATATGAAACATACTTTTTGATTTTATCAAATTCATATATGATTTTTATTAAAATTTTAAATCATATTACTTTAACATTTTTTCGCATCATTTTTATATTATATTTAAAATTACGAAATCTACTAAAAACTAATAGTAAAAGTTGCTATATTAAGTATTAAACTATATACAATTGGATTTTGAGTAATAAATATGTTTATTAATGTTCATTCATATATTAGTGTTTTCTCATTTTTCAATAAACTATTTATAGAACAATAAATATGCTTATGAATGTTCATGTCTATATTAGATGATTCATCAATTTTCGATTAATTAGTTTAAATGAAAAAAAAAATGTAAAGTTAGCATATTCACTGTTTTTACAAGTATTGTTTTTAAATAAATTAGCATTAATAAAAAATAAAATATGAAAAATTAGCATTTTTATACGTACAGTCAGGTTGTTTACAAAATAAATACAAAAATTAATTTTTTGAAATAAATTTGTTTAGATAAAAATGAATATAAAAATTATTTTATTAATTTTAATATTTACAAGTTTTAATTATTTTTAACAAACAAGTATTAATAGAAAAGCAAAATATGAAAAGTTAGAATATTTATTTTTGAAAGAAAAATAATATAAATCAATTTTATTAAAAAACCTGTTCATATTCTACTACTCACTTTAATGAAAATAGTAAAAAGATGAAAATTCACAAAAATTAGTATATTAATTTCAATCTTTTCATATTCCATGAATTAATAATTAATAAATAATATTTGGAAAAATTAAAAAAATAAATCTTTGTATCGTCAATAATTTAGATTTTTACAATTATTATATCCATTTTATGGTTTTTATTGGTTTACCAATGACTTTTGATCTTTTCATTTAATATATAAATAGATTCATTTGCAGTGGTAGAGGATCGATATTTTTCTTTAATACGATTGTTGTTTTATTTGTGTTTCTTTTTTTTTTTTCAGATTTTTTTGGAATTTTGTTTGTTCTTCTATTTTTAATATCTATTCCAAAGAAGTAGCATAAATAGATTGCTTTTCAAATACAAACTTTTTAGATTTTAAAAAACTATTAGATATATTATTTAAATATTTTTATAAAAAAAAATTAATGGTGTAAAGCATGAGTCAAAAAAGCAATGGAATTTTAATGTTTCTAACCTAAAGGATAATAAAGTTACGTGCTTATTATTAAGGGAAGGGTTTTTGCAAGCATATGCATTTGAGGCAATGTTTTAAGATTAAGTTTCTAACGAGATTTTAACATTAGTTAAAATATGTCAAATGTGCAGTAGCTCTAGCACCAGTGTTGAAGTGGCTTTTGGAGGTTACAAATTTAAAGGTTTATTTGCATAATATTTTTTTTTTTTGATAAAAGTTAAGAAATTAAAAGTAAAATTAAAAATTTTTAAATATTAAAATATTATTTATAATAGTATTTTTATATGAAATATAATAATTGATAATAAATTTTGCTAACGAGTCTTTATTAGGATTAGTTAAAACGCAATTTATAATAATATCAATACATTAAAATGATAAAATTCTAAAGTGTTAAAAAGTAATATGATAACTTTTTGTCATATAATAACTTTTTTTTTAAGAATATGATAAATTTTTTTATACAAAAACATCATTACTTAAAAATAAAAAAAAAATTACAGGTGTAGAAATTAAATGATTTTTTTTAAAAATAATTAAATAAATTAAATTCTAAGTTTAACACTGTAACTTTAATAATATAATAAAAGTTAGGACACTCCAACAAACCCTTTATAACCAAAAATTATTTCTATTTTTATCTAGGGTTGATAATCTAACCCGTTCTCAATAAGTTTCGATTCGACCCGACCCTACTCTATGAGATTAATTTTTTTTTTTAATTCAGATTTCAAGTCGAATCGGGTTAAATAAAATTAGGAAGCAATCAGGGTCGGATCGAGTTAGGTTTTAGACAAACCTGACTCGACCTTATCTGATATTATATAAAAAATTATTTTTTAATTAATTATTTAATTTATATATATATTTATATAATGATATTTTTAAATAGTTATATTTAAAAAATAATATTTTATATTTTTAAAAAATAATATTTTATTAAATTCAAGTCGAGATTAGGTCGGATACGATTTATATAGTATCGGGTCGAGATCGGATTCGGATATAAAAAAACAAAAAAAAATTTGGATAAAATAAAATTTAAATTTAATAATACATAAAATCGGATCAAATTCGGAACGAGGAAAACTCATCTCGAACCCAATATGATGTCAACTCTATTTCTATCTAATGTCTTTTCAGCTTCAAATTATTCTCTTACATTTAAATGAAATAAGTTTATTTATCCTTCATTTCTTTTAACAAAAAAATCTTTCTCGTGGGAATAGAAATAGAGGGAACTCCCTTTCGATTTGGGAAAACTCTAATTTAAGGGTCAAAATTTATGTCATTGACCAAAAAAATTCGAGAAAGAAGATAAATAGAAAATCATGGTGTCTACAGTAAGGACAAAGGAAGAGTCTGATGATGCATACATATTACTATATCAGTCCACAATCAAATCCCCGGTGGCTGAAACGTGCAATTTCTAGTAGGTAAATATAGTGAACCAAATCTCTTCCTCGGGATTTGCTTACTGAAAATATAGAACAAAACCAGTTGTCCATGGAAAGAATATTGGAACCAAATCTTTTTACATTCTTAGTTATAAACCAACTTGAGTGAAAATTAAATTACAACCTGGAAAATATGACATTTGATGAAGGGCACTTTTGCATGGAACTCTCCAACAGTAAAATTTTTTTGGGTAAAACATCGAAAAAGCAACATATAATTGATGTCAAACTACCGTCAGTTAAACAAAATATGCTTGGTGGTGATTTGTTTGGATAAACTCGTCTGCAAATCTTTGGGGAATTGGCCAGAAAGAGGGGAATGAAAGAGACAAAAATGTACAAGATTTAGCTACTAAGATCATCAGTCACCGCTCTATGCCTGCCAAGGGGTGACAAATGCACAATAAAAATAAAAATGAAAATTTCAAACATATTGACGGTGGGCACTTTAAAACAAAACATTAATATGCCAATTGCAGAGGGTCGTCCAGGGTTTCGGGAGCCTTTTTGGAACAAGTTCAATGACGCATATATTACAGCAGCATGTGTCATTCAGAAGGAGGATCCTGAATTTCTGGTGCTTGAGAGAAATGAGTAGCAGATTGAAGGAAGAAAACCCCATAATTCTTTCTTTTTTTTACTGTCAAGACAACTGGAAAGCAAAGAGATTGCAGCCGGTTCTGTAAAGGGTGCTTAAAAGAGGAATCTACCTTTTTTGTTCAGTAAGGGACTGATCCCTAATGTCTGATGCTACTGGAGATTAAAAGTCTAACTCCAGGTCTCCCACCGACTAAGGAAATGTTAAAACAACTGCCTATGATTCACTTGGTGCGGAGCTAAATGGTACGTTATTCATATTGATGGGTACAGCAGAGTCGTGTACCTCTAACTCCAGGTCTCCCACCGACTAAGGAAGTGTTAAAACAACCGCCTCTGCTTCACTTGGTACGGAGCTAAATGGTACAATACCATTTTCTTCCATTAAGATGCACGTTATTCATATTGATGGGTACAGCAAAGTTGTGTACCTTTCCTACTTTTATCAACAATCAGTACTTAGTACTGCAATTAGTTTGACGCAGGATGGATAGGAACGAGAAGCACCCAGAAGCGTGAGTTTGCACTTTGCCTGGTCCTGGTTTTCGGGCAAATCCTGTTTCTGATTTGAGTAGGCAAGAGGTCCTGAACAATCATACAGGTAAGAGTTCACATTGGAAGTATAGCAATTGTACCCGGTATTAGACTAATTTTACATTTTGATCCAACCCTTGTTCATAAATCA